GAAAGGGCGTGTGAAAGCAGCTAGCCGTTCCGCTGGGAGGTCCGCCATGATTGGAGGTTGTGGAATCGAGGATTCGTTTTTGCACCGCTGACAGCCCTTCCTTGTCGCTGCATACTGAACGCGAATGCGAGGAATGACGTCTGCGAGGAATGACGCCTGCTGGATTGTGGAGATGCGCAGCCAACTAGGGATGGCCAACAATCACGATCAGTTGAACCTTGTAAGATGCTCGGTACACACATTGCAATTAGCTATTCTTGACGTTGTTAACAAAAGTGACGAATCCATCAAGCAAATCACTGGCGTGGCAAAAAAAAATGTAAAGGAGTCAAATATAAGACACAGGCTACTTTCCCACCGGTTTGGGAACAAACCAGATGAGGAGGTATTTACATGATGCTGGATTGCTTTCACAGACAAAAAGAATTTTTCAATCAACTGGCACTCCAATTTCCTGAGCTCGGTAAGTTTAGGATGTGCTTTAGATCATATGGTTTTTATTTTGCATTGAGCTGCCAAAAATTGCAAATAATTTTACAAATCCTATGAGTTAACTTTACAGTATCCCCCCACTAATCCTACAATGTAATGTCCAGATTATCGAATGTGGACTCTCTTATCTGGATGTTCTACACATACTAAAAATTACAACAAAAAGACGCAGCACACAGCCAAATTCTAAAAATTGACAACATAATATACTGTCCATAAAAGCATAACTGTCCGATATGAATCGGAAATCAAGTAGAGATGGGACAGATACGCTTTTATGGGTAGTGTACGAATATTTGTCATTCATGGTTGTTAACCGATATCCGTAGATATCGTCTGCGTTAATCACGTTTCCAAATTCTCCATTATCAATTAACAACCCTGGTCTCATACCATCGACAGACATGATCGTAGTTTCGTTGTACTCTTTTAATCCATTATTGTAATCGGCGTACTAGATTAAAAAACACAACGTCTCTACAATCATGTATGTCATTAGTATTAAATAACACAGCCTTGATTTACAGCTCTAACTCCGAAAATCTGGGATTTCGTTGAACATTACGTTCAAGCCTTCGAACCTCTTTACATTTGCACCAAAAAAAAATGCAAGCAGCTCACGTTTCGTTGCCAGATTGTGACTATGGCATGACCATGGAACCACATGGAACTCTGCTCAGTAGCATGAGACCCCTGAACTGTGTCGCAGGGCCGGCATGTTACTGGGTATTCGGAGGGGCTACGCGGACAAAGTATGAAACACAGGAATATTCACATTTTCTAAAACATTTATTTGCCCTTTTCTGTGGCGTGTGGGTTTGGGTTTTCACATATATGTGGCGTGTATGCGAGGGTTTAAAATTTAGTACGCACTGCTGCAGCAGGATCTCCTACGGCGTCGCGACGCTGGCGTTGGCCCACACGGCTGCTCCTGCACTACCGTGTGGCCGGAAACTTGCGGCGCGGGCTGCAGACAGTGTTGTTGCAGCTTTGGGAGAATGGCGGATCTGGTGGCGTTCATCAGCCACATACGGCTCAGCAGGCGTTGCTGGCTCGTTTGGCTGGCAGGCGTCTTCCGTCGTTGACAAAATCGGCTGACCGTGGCATGGCCACTTTGGTCGAGCCGAGACGGGACCTTCCTTGACAATGTCTTTGATATTAAAATACGTGAATTTTCCAAACAACAACAACTCATTCAAACGAAAATCCACGGATTGTAACCAACTGGTTACAAGATTTTTATTTATCATGGCTGATGGCAATCAACGAAGTTCAGAAGATGTGTTCGAATCCGTTTGCTCAGCCACTGACTAAATCCTTAACAGATCGCCTTGGCAAGCTAAAGACGTCACAAGCATTTCAAATGTCACTGTACATGGATCCACGTCTGAACTATTTTAATTCAAAATTGTTCAGCAACGATGAGAAGCAATATATACAGGTACGATATTACATGTATCTTGTAACCACGATAAGTGATAAACAACTTTTGAAAATTTTATTCTCATATATTTAGAACTGCATTAAAGACACCTGGAACAGGATCAGCCAACTAAAACCGTCTATATGTTCCAGTGAAACAGTAGAAAACAAGGCCAACAGCAGCAGCCAATTTGACGAGTTCCTCACAGAGCTTTTTGGTGGAACTCTGTCGACCACGGAAAACTCAAATGACTCATCGTTTGAGCAGCAGTTAAGAGCACTAGATGCTGAACCGCGACAAAATGACTCTTTCGATGTGTTTCAATATTGGTTGATACAACGAAAGACTCATACAGAACTGTTTGAGGTAGCCATGAGGATCAAATGCAAAATGTTGTTCTCATTTTACACAAATACAGCGCTGTAGAACGTGTCGTGTTGGTTTTTATGCACAGATTGATGGAAAATTATTGCCTCATGCTGAATTGATGATAATATCGAGGCTTTAGGCTCTGGAATCGACAATATTCTAAATAATCATTTTGCCCAAAATCAATTTGATTATTTTGCTTTTGAGGATCGCTTCTGATTCTGACAATTTTGGGGTGGCTATCAGACATAATGCAGATATTCGAATGTCTATACTTTCTACGCAAGCAAATTTTAGAACATTCAAGAATTCCTTGGACTTCTGCTTGGAAGTCAGTAGGCCAGTAGCCCATTGATATTGAGATATTTATTCCTGTACCTGTTACCCCTGCTCCTACACGATTATCCAATCTAGAGCCGCCTGTATAAAAGAAAATTGATCCTGGACGAATGTTTGGTCCCCCATTGTCCCACAAATCGCGATCCGCATCTGCTACATTGTAAAGACGATCGAAGTGAAATTTCTTCTTCATCCAATCTTCATTTTGTATCACAAGAGAATCAAATGTTTAGGATGCTCATAAGTCCTCTAAGATTACCTTCAAGGAAGTGCTGTGACCGTCGGATCCTTAATGCACTCCTTTCGGCTTCTAATTAAATAAATTGATGCAACGGAAGCAGATAAAGTAGAGCATCTAGTGTCATACTTGGTGTGCTACTCATGGCACCAGTTATTCCCAACAAACATTGAATGTTGAATAAGAGCTTATTCAGGCAAAACCAATATTTTTTCAGCTACAAAAATAGCTTATTCAGCTGTTGATCAACTCAAATTGTTTGTTGGGTTGAGAGAGTGGCTAGTCTTTGCAGCCTCCCCAGCTTCTTCTGAGCTGATTTTTCATTGGTTTTAGGCCACCAAACCAATGATGCATAGGTTATCCTGGGTCTTACAATCGTCAAATAAATCCAGTGGATCATTTTAGGTTTCAGTCCCCATTTCCAACCAAAAGTTTTTTTTTTTATTTATCCAAAGAGTATTTGTTGCTTTACTGATGACTTGCTCTAGATGCGAATTCCAATTTAGTTTGCTGTCAAGAGTAACTCCAAGATACTTGACTGTGTTTGAAAGTTCTAAAATTATTCCTTTTAGTTTAATATTATTTAAGGACATTTTTTCTATTCGTGTAAATGGTACAACAGTTGTTTTAGATGAATTAAAATTCAATATTTCGCTAGTGCACCTCGATGAAACATAATTTAAAGCAATTTCCATTCTACTTGAAAAGAACATAGTCATATCATGGAGGTAACTCTAAGACTAGAAGGTCCCGAAATAACGTGCTCAACTTTTTGGCTCAGCTCTGGTACTATCTTCGGTCCCAAGCTAATCGATTCACCCCTCGGAACATAGGAAAATCCACTAGCCCCTCATTCTATCGGTCAAACTTTCATAGCGAATCAAAACAAACATTGCGTAGTACTAGAATTTTGATAAGAATGGGGTACGTTAGTCGTTTGCTTGGGACCAATAGGCTAGTCAAGTAGTGAGCCAATTTAAAATCGTTAGTTTCGTATTGATTGTTGGTCATATTTTCCACGCACTAATATGACTATTTCATCTGTGAAGCCAATAATCTCACAGCCCTGTGCTTCTAAGTATTAGAGAAGGTCATCAACTGCTAAAGACCACAGTAGAGGTGAAAGAACACCTTCTTGAGGACACAGATGTAAAGAAAATGCAATTTATTTCAATTGTTTTGGCCTAATTTGACATTAATTATGTACGTCATTCTTGCAGAAAAATGAAAAAATTGGAAATTTAGATTTTTACCCAGAACTACCTTATTCAACTTGTTCGCAAGTCCTACTGAATTCCGATTGCTGATGCTGAATGGCAATTGCAAAAAGCATCTTCAAAGTGATATTAACACTTCTTAAACCTAGAAATAGTCGAAATATTCTGGAGCGATGCGTTCCAAAACCACGAAAACACAGCGTTCAGAATCTCATAAGAGGAACTAATTCTAAGATAATACCAGTCCCTAAGAGAAAATTTGTTTGTTTGCTTTTTGATTGTTAACTTTTAAAGAAAGACATGACATAAATAATAAATAATAATAAAAAAAATTACCGGTTTGGAAGGAAAAATGTGTTTTACCGGTTTTACCACATATTTTCGATATAGTCCTTGTACACCACACAACAGAGAAATTAAAAATACTACAAATCTTTAAATGTTCGTTGAGGTTTGAAAGACCGGTAGAAGTAATAAAACATTCGAATTAAACCGTTATGTGCGTGACGTTATGAGCATACAATGCAATATATGGTTTGCATTTTATTGTGACATTATTAGATTTTCTGGATTTTCCTTAAAATGGACAGTTCACCCCCATCTTCCTTATATATGAAAGTTAATTGAAAAGCATTGGACATCACAGAACGAGACGACACCATCGCTCATTAGAATAAAATTAAAACGCCAAAATGTATGCAACTGAAGGGACCTAGAACGGATTTGTTTTCAGTGACGGGCTAAAGTAAATTCATTCTCTCTGATTTGATTATTCTCTCATTTCTCTCACGATTTCACATCCATAGTAAACGAAAACTGACAGCAGCTGAAGTTTTCGTCCACCGCCAGAATGAAAACATAACTTTCATTCATTGATTATACTCTCTTTTTCATTACCTGCTCGTATTTTGGCTTGTGTGTTGTGTAGTGTTAGGAGAATGAATATATCAGTAACATTAATCAATCAACAAACCAGACCGAGTGCAGTTTTTTATTCCGTTTCTCACTTTTATCAATGTAGAATGTAAGCAATCGAAAACCGCAGTAATACCGTACACGACGTCAACCTTTCGGCAGCAATCTCGCGCATTATACGTTCAGTTCCAATCGAGGTCAATTTTCGGTGGTGCCAAATAGCTTTAGGTATAGCAAAGCAGCTGGTGAAAGCCATCGATCTCTCGGATAGGGGCCAAATTGTAGGAATCCGACGGATACCATGTTTCGATTACGAGTTAAAATCTTCTACATCTACATTATCATATCGTTTATGCTGTCGGTGTACCTGTTCTACTTGATTTCGAAGTACTCGGTGGAGAAATTTATGAACTACCAGCGCAGTGTGAGGTTAGTTCGACTGTAGGTCTCATTTTGTTCAAGGTCAAGTTCTAATGATTTTGACTTTTTTTTTCTTCAGAAGTAGCAAATTCCAGGACCGTCCTCGGATACCGCAGATTGTGGGTCACTACGTTGGCATTGGAGCGGTGGGGAATGTTTCGAGGGATTTCCTCAATACCAACAATTTCTCTCCGGTGCCGGGAGTGGGAGAGAATGGAAACCCGGTGGTTATTCCAGCGAAGGATCTGCTGCAGATGCAGCAACTGTTTCAGATCAATCGGTACAATTTGCTGGCCAGTGATCGGATGGCGTTGAATCGTTCGCTACCGGATGTACGGAAAACGAAGTGCTTGTCCAAGGAGTATCCTTCCAAGCTGCCAACGACGTCAATTATTATCGTCTTCCACAATGAAGCGTGGTCTGTGTTGCTTCGGACGGTTTGGAGTGTGATCATTCGGTCACCGCGGCATTTGATTAGGGAGATCTTGCTGGTGGATGACGCCAGTGATAGGCGGTTTTTGAAGAATGAGTTGGAAAATTACGTTCAGAAGCTTCCAGTTGTGGTGAGCATTTTGCGACTGAACAAGCGAGAAGGTTTAGTGGCTGCTCGGTTGATGGGAGCTCGTGTTGCGACGGGAGACACTTTGACATTCCTTGATGCTCACTGTGAGTGTTCTCCGGGTTGGTTGGAACCGCTGCTGGCTCGGGTGCAGGAGAATCCGAGGAAAGTCGTCTGTCCGGTGATTGACATAATTTCGGATGATAATTTCTCGTACATCAAAAGCTTCGAGTTCCACTGGGGAGCGTTCAACTGGCAGATGCACTTCCGGTGGTATACCTTGAGCGACGAGGAGCTGGCGGAAAGACGGAAGGATACAACACTACCGTTCCATACGCCGGCCATGGCCGGAGGACTGTTTACGATCGACCGGAAGTATTTCTTCGACGTTGGAGCGTACGACGAGCGGTTGAAGATCTGGGGCGGAGACAATCTGGAGATGTCGTTCCGGATATGGCAGTGTGGGGGTGAAATCGAGATAGCTCCCTGTTCGCATGTGGGACACCTGTTCAGGAAGAGTTCACCGTACACTTTTCCGGGAGGAGTCAGTGGGGTAGGTCAAGAAACAATAATGTCTGATTGATTTAAGGAATAATGTATGTGCTTTGTAGATTCTTAACGAGAACCTCGCTAGGGTCGCTCTTGTGTGGATGGATGATTGGGCCAAGTTCTTCTTCAAATTCAACAAGGGCACAGAGGAGTTCAAAAGCCTGGTAAGTACAAAACCAATCTACGTTTAAGGAACACCTCAAACAAGATTTTTTTTCAGAATGTATCCTCCCGTGTGGCGCTCAAAAAGCAACTAAACTGTAAATCTTTTGACTGGTACCTGCGGAAGATTTGGCCCCAGAACTTCTTTCCCGCACCGAACAAATTCTTCGGAAGAATTCAACCCATCGATCTCAGCACTTTCGACCATCAGGAGTACATCACCCTGATGAAGAAGATCAACCTGATAGTAAAGAACCTTAATCCAGAGATGAAATGGAAGTTTCTCATCAAATATCTCTCGGAGAATGTGAAGAAAATCGGTGACGCAATGAAAATAGCCAAACACACGCCCTACTGTTTGCAGAAGCCCAAATCCAATACGATCGTAAACCAACCGTACGGTCAATCGTTTCTCAAAAAGTGCTCGCTGCTGATAAACGTCCTCGACGAGCAATTCGTGATTGATGAATATGGCCGTATTATGACGGACGAGGGTGTCTGTTTGGATTCGTTCCGGAAGACTTCGATCGATGGGGAAGCAGTGGTCGAAGAAGCCAAAAAGATCAAGATGGTGACCTGCGGCAGCAAGAAGCCCGCTCAACGCTGGATCTACGAGACCGACACGTACCACGTGCGGAACATGAATAGCGAGCTCTGCCTAGAGCGGGGCGTTACGTTGATTAAGGACGATCCCGAGGACAAGTTGGAGGTGTTTCTCAATCCGTGTGACGTGAGGAACGAGCTACAAAAGTGGATGCTATTCCCGGTGGCTTGGAAGTAGGGCCGGAGGCGGAGCAATAATTTCAATGCACTAGTTAACACAAGCATGTAAAGCACACTCACAAAACACACCCTGCGACGCTCTCATAGATTAATTTTAAAATGCTCAAATGCTACAGTATGTTCAAGACTCTCTTGAAGCGAACAATTATCAGACTGCGATTGAGAAGTAAAACAAACAAAACGTAAGATAACATGCCATTCCGATATTACAGACTAATGGGTAATTTTTAAGAATTCATAATAGGTGTACTTAATTAGTTTGTGTTCTATTTAAAACAAAAAAACGGTCGAAATGTTATGATTCTGTTTACTTTGCGTTTTTCTCTTCAACTGTTTCCCGTTAGCATTCGTTAAGAAGTTGAAAAGTTAGTTGTTTCAGGTTTCCGTTAGATCATTCATTATGGATAAGTTTTGATCTGTGATATTAAAGCATTCGAGATCTATTGAAACGAGTAATACATTATTTGTGCTATTTCACGCAAAAGCATTGTTTGATTGTTTTCGACCGTCCTTTCAGGGTTCGTAATATGCAACCTTATTCCCGTTTTCAAATCGCTTGAAAAACCGAGTTCCGAGCGATCCAAGGTCCTGCGTAGCTAATGGGGGTACAAAGGAGGCCAGGCATCCCAGAGTTTTGGATGTTTTTTTTGCACACCGGCATTTTTTCAAGCAGTAGTGCTATTAACAAATCAAAGTTAGGCCGCTTTTATTTTACAAATAAGGTAAGTTTTTTTTTTAAATCTGGTTGCTGCTACGATGGTAGAAAAGTTGAAATCTATGTACAAAATTAAAAATCTGAAATGAAATTAAATTGTTTATATTAGGTATATGTGTATTGAGTAGCCCTTCACTTTTCTACTAACGCAGCAATAACCACATTTTATTTAAATAATTTGTTTGCAAATTAAATGCATTTTAAGATTGCACTCGTAATCATCAAAAGGGTATTCAACTCGGTACAAATTAATTAGTGCCGAGTGATAGAGTTGTGTCGAAAGCTGTGCCAAGCGCTGTGCCGAACGTGCTGTGGTCATTTAAAGCTAAGAGGAAGAGGAGACAACTGGCTTCTTACTCTCAAATCTCTATCTATATCTATCTCTATCTTACGCACTTCAAAACGGCCAAAGAAAGAGTTTGCGAGTCTTAGTGAGTTTTGGTGAACTTTTCCAATACTGAATGTAAGGATTCATCTAGCTGTAGACGCTCGATGTTCATCGTTCCAAAATTGGAACTCTTTTTTTCGTACGAATAACAGTGAAGGCGTGAAGGTTTTCCGCATTAACCGTCGTACAGTTGGGATCCATTTGCTTGATGTCGATGAAATTGTTGGTGTGTCCTTCCGAATTTACCATCAAAGGCAACCGTCGGACATTTTTCAAAATGATCCTCAATCTGAAAAGAATCGTCTCTTGAGGTAACTCGTTTCAGCCGTCTCTACTGCCGTATCGACAAGACGCTCTGGACCGACCATGGTGTAGATGAACTTGACGCGCTCCAGTTCTCGGTGGAACCACACATCCTAGGGACGATGTTATCCGGACTGGTATCCGCTCCGCATATCGCTAGCATAACGCTCGATACTGGCTCGAAGCGTGGACAGGCGCACACAACGTGTTCGGCAGTCTCTTCGACGCCGGCACACGTGGGGCAGATGGGAGTACTTGCATGTCCGAACCTATGCAAGTAGCTCCTAAAGCAGCCATGGCCTGACAGGAACTGTGTCAGGTGGAAGTTTACTTCCCCGTGGCACCTGTTGACCCAGCTTGATACGGAAGGTATCAAGCGGTAAGTCCACCTCCCCTTTGTGGAGCTTTCCCACTCCGACTGCCATCTCGCAGTCGACACCGCTCGCGCGTTGTTGCGCACCCCTCGAACGGTCCTCGCGTCATAGCACACCACGTCCTCCTTAATGATGAGGCTGATTGGCATCATCCCTGCTATGACGCAGACGGCCTCCCTCGACATAGTGCGGTATGCACTGGTCACCCTCAAGCACATTAGCCTATGTGTACTCTCTAATTTCCGCCTGTGGCAGTCAGTATCCAGTACCGCAGCCCACGCAAGGCCTCCGTATCTGAGGATAGATACTACGACCCCGGCGAGGAGCCTGCGCTTACTGGCACTCACCGCCGAGCTGTTTGACATCATGCGGGATAATGCCCCCGCAGCCGTAGACGCTCTCTTGCCGGCGTACTCGACGTGGCAGCCGAAGCTGAGCTTATCATCGACCATAACCCTCAGGAGTTTCAGAGAGCGCACCCAGCACGCACTGTTGAACGCGTTCTTCACATCTAAGGATACCACCGCGCAGTAACGAATGCCCCTTCGTTTCCGGTGGACCACCTCTGCCGTCTGGATGACGTCGTGGATGGCTTCCACCGTGGATCTGCCCTTACGGAACCCGTACTAGCTGCTTGAAAGGCCGTCTACACCTTCAGTGTAAGCCGACAACCTGTTGAGGATGACGCTCTCAAGCAGTTTACCAGTGGTGTCCAGCAAATAAATGGGCCTGTATGTTGACGGTTCCCCACGGGGTTTTCCTGACTTCGGGAGCAGCACCAGCCTCTGCCGCTTCCACGATGCCTACAAAAAACAGAACGGAACATGTTTGGATTTTCCGCAATGGCCGCCCTCAGAGCCACAACCGGGACCCATCTGGGCCCGCGGCCTTGCCCACCACCAACGACTTGGCAATATCGCTAAGTTCTCTGTTCGTCACTTTAGACACTTCTCCCTGATCCGCGGCCAGGAGTCTACGTCCCTACGTGGAAACAAGAACACAAACGATAGACGCCAGCATCGCCGGCGATCTCTCCGGGGGTGCCGCCACGCCGCGGGTTTTGGCCATGACCACTTTGTAGGCAACCCCCCATGGGTTCGTGTTGGCGCTTTGGCATAAGCTGTCAAAGCACGCGCGCTTGCGTCTGGCGATCTCTTTATTGAGGGCCGCCTTAGCCGCTCGAAGAGCCGAGATTCAGTCGTACGAGCTCGTTGCATCCTCCTTCTCGCCTGGAGGCAAGACGCCCTGAGGATAGCAATCGACTCACTCCGCCAGTACACCGGTCTATGGTCATGCCTGGGATAGGCTCTCCTAGGCATGGTTGTATCGCACGCCCTTGTCAGCGCTGCTACCAGTTCTTCCCCCGTCATATCCGGGGTTTTTCGCTCCCGCCTCAGTGCTTCGCCGAAGACCTCTTCCTCGAAGAACGACGTCCGCCAGCCTCGAGCGCAGGAAGGATTCCCTCCTGCCACTCGCCACTCACTGTGTATCTGGCCCACTGTGCTGAGTGAACAACCCCTTGGTAGTAACTGGAAGCTATCAAACAGTATTCAAGCAAACTCGACCGTTCCACAAGATTCAGACTCAATGTTTATTTGAATTACTGACTCCTTGCAGGTGTGCAGAAAGTCGTAATCTGATCGATGGAGGAAGAAAATGCCACCGGCATCCTTTGAAATCCTATCTAACTAAAGCAAACAAAGAACTCGACAGACGGAAAGATGAATTACGGTCATGTAATCGACACGTCGAGTACCTAGTGTGGACTTCCTGCAAGAACATAGCTGTTAATCTATGGATGAGCCGGATTGGGATATGAAAAACCATGTTGCACATTTATTAACTGCTTGCTTGTCCATAATTTGGTCTACAATCTAGTGTTGATACTTGTGGTTCAAATTGCAAATATATTCATATATTTAAAGCGAGATTCATATATACTGTGCATCTGCAGTTCGTAGTTGGTTCATCTGTACGTCCATAGGCCCTTGCGAGGCTCTTGCTAAACAGTAAATTGCTTAGGACCGTCAAGCGGAAATCGCTGAGAGCACAGAAAATCACTCTACAGCCAACCAAATTTTCTAAATTCAGTAAGGCCTTATAGTTGACCGATCGGTAGCTCATCCATCGCACCGGGTCTCTTGCGATGAACAAGTTGAACTAGTGAGGTAAGTCCATAGAGGTAACTCCATAGAGGTAACTCTAAGACCACTGGGTCCCGAAGAAAATCATTATTATTTTTGGCTCACTCAGTACCAGAACAACGGTCCCAAGCAGTCCCAAGCTATTTCACTCACCCCTGCATGTTCTGCATGAATCCACACACCCCTGATGTTATCTGTCAAACTTTCATAGCGAATCAAAACAAACATAGTGTAGTAATAGAATTTCAACTAGTATAGGGTACGTTAATCGTTTGCTTGGGACCAATAGGCTACTAAAGTGGTGAGCCAATTTAAAATCGTTAGTTTCGTATTGATTGTTGGTAACTCTAAGACTAGTAAAGGGTTATACGGTCAAAATTTGGTCAATATCAACTTGACGTAGGGGAATTTACGTATTCTCGTCAACCTAAGCAGCGACCTTCTTTCTATAGCCTTTTTCTCTATGGAACGCACACATATGCAGTATTGGTTTGTTTACAATCTTTTGCTGCCAGCTGCTCTAACATTTTCAGTCGAAAGAATTGTCAAAAACTGTTTTGAAACGCTTTTACAAAGCTCCAATCTTCTCTTGTGAGAGCGAGTATTGTCGGCAACCCGTTTTTCTTCGGCAACCGTTCCATTTGAACTGCATGTAAACATAGAGGTAACTCTAAGACTAGAAGCTCCAGAAATAACGTGCTCAACTTTTTGGCTCAGCTCTGGTACTCTCTTCGGTCCCAAGCTAATCGATTCACCCCTCGAAACATAGGAAAAACCAATAACCCCTCATTTTATCTGTCAAACTTTCATAGCGAATCACAACAAACATAGTGTAGTACTAGAATTTCGACTAGAATAGGGTACGTTAATCGTTTGCTTGGGACCAATAGGCTAGTCAAGTAGTGAGCCAATTTAAAATCGCTAGTTTCGTATTGATTGTTGATGTAAATCTGCTGTTCTATTATCGGCAACTCGCAATCAGCTACAATTTGTAGTGCGTGTGTTTCATTTCAAGAAAACCCTGCTAGATTGCCTTTTCTCAGTGGTAAAAATATAGTCAAATTGAAGCTGAAAGCATAAAGAATCGTTTGCATGCATTCAGCGAAGTGTTTTCGTAAGAAAATCCAGTGAAAATAGTGTTTCAATTTGGGTTGCCGAAAATAGTCTGTCATGCCGAAGCCGTCATTTCCCCTATTTCTTTCAATTTTGCATTTAAAAAACCTGAACACCCCTCATTTTGAAGGTGTATGTGTGTAGAATGTTGCTCCTATTTTGATTTTGGAATTCACTCTTCAGTTGTCAAAATGCCGTCCAAGCAAGAAGAGCAGCGTATCAAAATTTTGCTCGCGCATCGCGAAAATCCGAGCTACTCGCACGCAAAGTTGGCAAAATCGCTAAAAGTTGCCAAATCAACCATTACAAATGTAATTAAAGTGTTTGGAGAACGTTTGTCGACAGCCAGGAAGTCTGGATCGGGGGGAAATCGAAAACCGGAAGCCGCTGAGACGACAAAGAGAGTTGCCGGTAGTTTCAAGCGAAACCCTAACCTCTCTCTCCGAGATGCCGCAAATAAGCTGGGTGTATCGTCTACAAACGTGCATCGAGCCAAAAAACGAGCCGGACTATCGATTACAAGAAGGTAGTGACTCCAAATCGCGATGATAAACAAAATACGACGGCCAAAGCGCGATCCCGGAGGCTGTACACGACGATGCTGACGAAGTTTGACTGCGTGGTAATGGACGACGAAACCTACGTCAAAGCCGACTACAAGCAGCTTCCGGGACAGGAGTTTTATACGGCAAAAGGAAGGGGAAAGGTAGCAGATGTTTTCAAGCACATGAAACTGTCAAAGTTCGCAAAGAAATATCTGGTTTGGCAAGCCATTTGAATAAACGTCTGCTGCCTTTCCTGAAGAAACACGGTTGTTCCGTACTGTTTTGGCCGGATTTGGCATCTTGCCATTACGGTAAAAAGGCCATGGAGTGGTACGCCGCCAACAACGTGCAGGTGGTTCCCAAGGACAAGAACCCTCCCAACACGCCAGAGCTCCGCCCAATTGAGAAATACTGGGCTATTGTCAAGCGGAACCTAAAGAAGACCAAAAAACTGCTAAGGGCGAGCAGCAGTTCAAGGCAAGCTGACTTTCTGCGGCGAAGAAGGTGGATAAGGTGGCTGTACAAAATCTGATGGCAGGGGTCAAGCGTAAGGCCCGGCAATTCGGATTTGGAAAAGCGGAAGCCTAACTGAATATTTTTCCTGAATTTTATACTAATTGAACTTGAAAAAGAAATTTAATTTGATTTTTTAAATAAACGATTTCACCGATTTACACGCGTTTTCCCTTGACCAAATTTTGACCGTATCACCCTTTAGGCCCGAAGAAACAAGCTCTACTTTTTGGCTCAGCTCTGGTACTATCTTCGGTCCCAAGCTAATCGATTCATCCCTCGAAATATAGGAAATTCCACTAACCCCTCATTTTATCTGTCAAACTTTCATAGCGAATCAAACAAACATTGTGTAGTACTAGAATTTTTACTAGAATGGGGTACATTAATCGATTTGCTTGGGACCAATAGCACAGGAGTGGAACTTCGGATCAGAAAGTGGCTCCACTTATCATTTGCGAACACTAGCGTACCATAGAGGTAACTCTAAGACCACTGGGTCCCGAAGAAAATCATTATTATTTTTGGCTCACTCAGTACCAGAACAACGGTCCCAAGCAGTCCCAAGCTATTTCACTCACCCCTGCATGTTCTGCATGAATCCACACACCCCTGATGTTATCTGTCAAACTTTCATAGCGAATCAAAACAAACACAGTGTAGTAATAGAATTTCAACTAGAATAGGGTACGTTAATCGTTTGCTTGGGACCAATAGGCTACTAAAGTGGTGAGCCAATTTAAAATCGTTAGTTTCGTATTGATTGTTGGTACTGCTTTGTATGTCTGTCAATGGTATAAACAACCCAAATTTGAGTAGGATCTACTCATATCCGTCAAAAGTAGGGGTACAAAGTTGAAACTGACAAGATCACAAATGGACATCATCGTTCAGGTCGATGTTGTCCATTCGTCATCTTGTCAGCCCCAACTTTGTTTACTCAATTTTGGGCGAGATTTTGGGTAGCCCTACTTTTGACGGATATGAGTAGATCCTACTCAAATTTGGGTTGTTTAGAAATAGCGTACAGGCTGTGGTGAATTTTCACTTAAATTTGAGACTTCGAAAATAAATAAAAATGTTCGGAAATCCCCATGTTGTTGATCGTCCAATTTTCAAAAAGAGGTTTGTCAAAATTGATTCCTTGTAGGTCAGAAATAAGTCTAGTAAAATAGCAGGTTTATTTGAAGACTTTCCATCTGTCAAATTCAAGTGAAAATTCCCCAAATGGAACATAGTCTTATTGACCAATGCACGAAATGAACTCACGAAAAAATTTGACTTTTGAGCGGTGCCGTGTTTACTAAAAATGAACACATGATGTAATGCTCGCATTACTTTAGAAAAGGTCCTATCAACTTTTATAAACAACTTATTAGAACCTTTTCTCGCGAGCCGAAGAACACTCCCGCAAACCAAACCACTATTGACGAGTGCACGGATGGATTTGAGTTCACTCACTCGACAAAAAGTGACACAACAGCGGGGCCCTGTTTACTAAAAATGAACACATATGTGTTCATTTTTAGTAAACAGGGCCCCGCTGTTGTGTCACTTTTTGTCGAGTGAGTGAACTCAAATCCATCCGTGCACTCGTCAATCGGGAAGGGAAGAACTCACCCTACCCGATGGTGTTGTTGGTTTGCATGGGCATACTTCGGTTCGCGGGAAAAATGCCTAACAAATTTTGTGTACATAAGTTGATAGGCCATTTCTCAATGTTACACGAGTTTTATTCATGTGTTCATTTTTAGTAAACACGGCACCGCTCAAACGTCAAATTTGTTCATGCAGTTCATTCCGTGCATTGGTCAATTGGGGTTTACATTGGAGTAAACAAAGTATCCTTAGCACCGATTGGCAAAACATCAAAGCTCGGCAGTTTTGCCATTTTGTACTATATATTTTGTGTTCTACTTATCAACACTGTAAGAAAAGACCTGCCATATATCGAATGATTCGTCATACGTTGTGTTAACAAATGCCAATTTCTTGTTTTCGAATGAAACCAGCAGCAAGTGAAAAGGATGCCTAGCATAAAGTGAAAATCATTATTAAAGTAGATGATAATGGACATGAAACTTGTTTGAATTACAGATTGTTTTACGAATGTACCAAACCAAACGAACATAATCTAAAATATGAGAGATAAATGTATCATCGAAGGCCTATAACGAACATCATTAATTTTCCCAAAGAAATGTTGGTGTATGAAAAATGTGATTGAAAATACAAAAAGTCGACAGCGAAGTATATGATAGACATGTTGAAAAGCAACTGAATCGAAACCGATCGCAAACAGGAATCACATCCAATGCTTACTCCAGTTGGGAGATGCTCTCTGAGCTGTTGGAACCTTCATAGGAACTACTTAGCTCGAGGTCCATAGATGTACGGACTGTAAGATCGGCTTTACTTATAATTATATTAAAATAAAGCATTGTAATTTTTAAAATATTACCTATTTTCCTCGCTATTTTCAACAGACAACATTGCTACAACTAGAACTCAGTATAAATAAGAACAGCATTTAATTAACTTATTACATTCATTTGATTAACGTCCACCTATGCTCTCAAAAATTGAATTAAAATCATCCTTGATTGGGATGATGAGTATCCAAGTTGTTGTGGTTTTAACAGATGATGAACTGAATGAAGATCATCTCAAAATCATCTGATAATAGTAATAGAGCCTGGGTGAAGCAATAATCATTCGATCAAAGGATGATATTTTGGATCAGTGAACGTGTGCCCTAGCGTGCCGAACAGTGTGCCATGCAGTGTTTCGGCACAGTGTGCAAAGTTTATTACCCCTTGAAGGCCAGGTTGTGGCTTGTAACTTTGGTCCAAAACTCATGCATCAAATCAAATTACAACTTAACTCGAAAACAAGATCCTGTTCGTTTGGGGACGGTTAACATCTATATCTCTCACGCCAGAGTTCAAATCTCAACCCCGGACAAGTTACGAATGACGCAAGAGTGTTAGAGCGTATTGAAATAAAAAAAGAATGTTGCTCAAATTTTGATTTAGTGAAAAGCGTCAGATCTCGCCATAAGTGGACAAATTAAGTTTTTTTTTCGTTGGAAACCGGCTGCTGCATAATTTTGGTCAAGAGCTTCAATTTTCGGCAACCAAGAATAATTTCCCCCTTTAACCGTGGATGAAAATCCCTCAACATGAACTGTGTGTAACACATCGTTACGATTAGCACAATATCTAAAAACAGTGTTCCTCTTAATTGATTTAAAAATTGCGATAGTTCACAGCACCGACATTTTGCAGCCTTATGGAGTTCTTTTGTAGAAAATTATTACATATAAATATACAGTGAACTCTCTGCAGCTCGATAGTGAAGGGATCATCGAGTTATAGAATTATCTAGTTAGTGGATATCGAGTTGTAGAGAGTTGACTGTATTTCTTTTGCATTTCAATATTAACACCATCTACTTAATACAAATTTAATCCCTCAACTTCACCAAACTCAGTGCCACCGATTTGATACTATGGCAAACCAATAGCTGAGTTATTTCCGGACATACTTTAAGCTGTCTAGCCAATTGCAACCCCATCGTTCCACATCCATCGACATCACCATCTACGATCACTCCTTCCCGGTGAGCGTAATCCAACATCACCTGCAGCGACTCGACGGATTCCTGTTCTATGACATATTTTAAGGCCGTAAAGAGTTGTTTGTTACGGTGATTCAAATCCGCACCGCACTCCAACAGCATCCGAACTATGTGATCGTGGTTGATCTTGACAGCACTTTCCAATGCGGTAGATCGTTTGAGAGAATTGGAGTATTGTTTGACCAAGTCCGGGCTGTGCCGTAGCAGTAGATCAACTATCCGCACGTTGCGATTGAAAATGGCATACTCAAGGACGGCGGCTTCCCCGGTTTGATCAGCTTGAGTTGGATCGGCACCGTACTGCAGAAAGAATTCGGTTACTTCGTAATTGTTCGTTCCGATGGCAGCGTGCAGCGGGGTGTATCCGTCCATGTCCTTAATGTTGAACACATGCATTTCGTCATGATGGTGGTGTGATTTTTCATAGTGCTGGTACATAAGTTTGATGAGCCCCAAGGGGAATGGTGTGGCGAGGACAGTTCGAAAAGGTGTTGCGAATCTGCCATTTTGTAACGCAGGATCGGCACCCAGCCGGAGAAGTGATTCTACCAGATGAGGAGAGGAATTCGGTTGCAAATAATGCAGGACGCAGCTCTGACCAGGTTTGTTCAATAGATATGACAGGTTAATGCTCTCTTGTGGGGCAAGCTGAACAATGCAGCTATTGGAATCGACCTGGATGTAGTGAAATCGTTCGGAACTGTTTAACTTGGATACAGTGGCAGTTGCTGCTTTCAGGTGTCGAAACCTCAAAAGGAAAGTCCTTAGACCCATGCTAATTATATCGGCAGTGTGGTGATAGTCTTGGGTTAAGATCGTCGTTCTGACTTCTGGAGATTTGGCTGGTGCGATCGTGGAATATATAGCAAGATCAACTTCAGCCTCAATAGTTTCATTTGGTGTGCGAAATTCAATGTAGAGCGTCGTTCTTTCTACAATCAACCCAGGTAGTACAGATTGAATCAAATCGACAAGGGTGGTACACTTTAGAAGCGTTCTTTTAAACTGACTCTCGTTCACTAGTTTTGAACAGTGTAGTCCGGACGGATCTTCAAAATGAAAATATTTTGCAATCTGATTGTCATGCATTTTCAATAAGTTCGCAATTTGATCTATCCAGCGTTCGGCGATGGATGTTGTCGGAATGATTGCTTTAATGAAGTCCGGTTGAATAGATATTAACATCAGTGCCCTCAAGTCATGCAGTATTTTGATCCAGCGTCTAAATTCGGCATAGGAGGAAGCATTTTCACTCGGTACAAAGATCATGCTTTCCAAAAAGTTCAGGACTTTCGCATCCTTATTCATAACAGCAACCTCCAGAATGTCTTCACACCTCCAGATATCTACCCCCTTATCGACGAGATGCTTCAACAGTCGTTTGGACCCGAACTGGACGACCCAGCTGATGAACTTCTCTGCGAGATGATTGGGAATGCCATCTTCCAGTATCTTTCGCACCATTTTGAAGTTTTCTTCGGTTAACAGACTGAGTACATGAACGCCATCATTAAGCCACACATACGCTCCGTTTTGGTACAACAGATCGACAATCTGCCAATGATGGTTAGCAATGGCAAGGGTCAAACAATCGAACATCAAGTGCAGATCGCACACCCAGTCACTTGCCAGAAGGCAGCGTACCATCTGAAGTCGTCCATAGCAGCAACAGTTTTCCATTGCCTGTAGCATGTCGCACTCTTCGATGACTGAATTAGAGGTTTGGAAGCAATTTTGAACGATATGTTCGAACAGGCGCAGGTCATTTCGTATGATGGCAATCCCTAGTTCATACTCTGAAGCAGGGTAGTCGTCTTCGGTGAAGATTGCCTTTAGATCTTCATCGGTGAGCTCGCTGATGATGCTTGTTCGTAGTCCGAGGTGTGTTGCCAGGAAGCCACGTTCCATTTCAGAATGTCCAGTAGTCATCAGGAGGATTGGTTTCACATTAGATCCTGCGTACCGGTCGAGGAGTGTCTCCAAGAGGGTGATATTGTTTGTACCAACAAGATGGGGTAGCACAGCACCCACAATAGGGGTCATCAGGTGAGGTTGAAGAATTTCAATTTGCTGCATCGCTATAGGAAGTGGCAACTGGTTGATCTGGAGCATGTTAAGGCGCACCGCATGATTGATCTTGGAAGTCGTTAGTATCTCCTCGATATTCTGGAACTGCTGGCTCAGCAGAGAAGCCACGGTTTTGATGCGGTTGCAATCGAATTGCTCATGAGTTATGATTCCAGGCATGGCGTAATACCTTGGACGTAGAAGCTTTCCCAGTGCTAGCAGATACCTACCGCTTGGTTCAGCTTTTCGATCAAGGAAACTTTCAAACTGCTGAATATCGCAACTCCGAATGCTTTGAAGCAGACCCGCTTGTGTTTCCAACCATCGAAACCCTTCGTCCTTCAGTTCCACCAATCCGTCTAGATTGAACTTCACTGGTCGGGTGAATATGTCCAATTCGGTGGAGTTGAATGCCAGAACGAACCCGTTGGTGAGGGTCTTGATCGTATCGGAGTTCGTCAGGAGATCATACGATAGCGAATCGTGTGCCAAATAGTTGCGGTACGACTTTCCCCAGATCATCGGAACCGATTTGGTCAGAAGGCAGAAGTTGTCACCGAGGTAGCCACTGGAGTAGAGTATTTCCATAGTTCGCAGCTGCCAGAACTCGATAGCCAGTCGAGCTTTGAGTGGAATTTTGATGTGATTTTCGATTAATTTGTCGATCGTTCCGCAATCGTATCGTTGGAAGGTTTCCCGGAGGTTCAGGAGAATGTTCTGCACCACTTGTTGAAGCTCCTGTTCGTCTTGACGACGAAGAGCTTCCAGTTGTGATTTGAATCTGTTATTGTGCGTTTTGTAGTCCTTGGAAGATTTGGGCCCAGTGATTGACGTCTTTAAGGTTTGAATGATCGCTTGCGACTTTGAATCCAGGGCGAATATGTTTTGGTAATATCCGTTGCGAGTTTTGGACAGTGCTGAATGTAAGTTTTCCTCCAGTGTGATTTGAGTTGATTTGTCCATGTCAATGTTGGTCGTGAAATGTGACAGGATCTCTTGAGTCTTCAACCGATAACGCCACTGCTGGGTAGAATCGTGATCCAGCTCCAAGTACTGGTGGATGTAGGACTGCATAACGACTGCGTTGAATTCGATACTGTCGAACGATCGCATTGTGAGAACTTTCCAGTCAGAGAACATGGTTTCAAGATAGCTACCGCTGGATTTGTCTGTCAGTTTGGAATCCAGCAAACGATGCACGGCCGAGATGGATGCGTTGGAAAAGGCCACTACTTCAACGACATCCATCAGATTATTGCGATGTAAGTAACGCAGATTGTTGATGATTTCCATCTTCTGATCGTAGTTTTCCCACAGTTCGTCGTGCTCTTTCATCTGGGCCTGCGTCAACGATTTAAGATCCGTTTCACTAAGACGGTTCTTTACAGCCGAGAAATATTGCTCAATTTTTTGGAACATACTTTCCTGTAGTGCTCGAACTTTGCTGCTCCCCACGTATCGTATTAGGGCACGAATGTCGTCAATCGTTCGGCAGCGTCTCATCAATCCAAGCGTGTAGCGAGTACAGTCGTGCAAAATATAAACAAAAATTACGTAGAACGATGCAGCGGTCATGTAGAGAAAGTTACTGAGATATTCGTAGTAGTAAATTTGATCTGTATCGTGGACGAACAGATGTGACAAGGGAAATCCGTGACTGGAGAAGTTTCTATACTTGGAATTGAGCATGATCGAGTCAGTCAGTACGTTCGGCAGTATGTTGGACAACTTGGTGGACAGATTCGGAGTATCCGTGGTATTTTTGATTGCTTCTCCGCAAATCTGGTTGAATCGCTTGAAAGCTGCCACCGTTGTTGAAGCACTGCATCTCTTGTAGTCGCTTGCGTCGAGTTCTTTGTAGATCTGAGAGCATCGTATAATTTTGAACACTGAATGCATTTGCTTCACTCGACGATACGCTTTGCGTAACTTTTTCAAAACACTCGAATGAACACCACCGGTTCGTTTTCTAATTGCATTTAATCGAGAAGCGATGGCAGTCAAAAATTGCATCACGCTCCGTTTGTTTATCATGATTTTGAACAGTTCACATCCCTGTATCTCGTCGAGTCCCGCAACGAAAATCGCCAGACAAAAAATTATTTCCTTTAGAGGAAGCTCCCTCACCGCCGGTTGATTTTTAATGAAAAACAAATGATTATGAATCAATTGAATGCGAAACATCACCTGATCGTCCACATCCAGTAAATCGTACCACTTTGGTCGATCGCGCAATTCTCTCACCCACTGCACCACCAGATCGATCGAATCTTCCCAGGATCGCTCCGGCTTGATGGGATCACCACACAACCGCCGCAATCCGTACGCCGAAAGTTTATGCATCACCCGTAGTTCCATCTCCTCCGGGATCGGAACATTTTTGACGTCCAACTCGAGCATCGCGTTGGAGCAGTACCGAAATGAATCCCATTCGCCACAAAGATACGAGGATTCCAACAGCTGGAACGTGGCTACCAATCCATCCCGAATCACCTGGTAGTAGATGTGAGCAGGGCTTTCCGCTGATCGATTCCATTCATCGACGAGAAGTTTTTTAGCCACTTGGAGGTGGCGATTTTTCAAGGCACTTTCGATGGGCGTCAATGTCATAGCGCCATAAGAACGAAGGTAAACAAAGTGATATACATACAATGTTGTGATTGTGAAGTGTGAGCGTGTGGCTCTCGGTTGCGATTCTTCTGCGTCGTTTGGTGTAGATACTAGAAAGAATACTAAATTTAGACGCTTGGTGCCGGTTGTGTGAGACCGGTTGAGACCTAGGCGCTTAATACAAAGGTGACACATAAGGAAGAAGTGTTAGTTTGTTTACTAAAATGAACTATGCCCGTTTTGTTATGGCAAGTTTTGCTATAAGAAATGCTCCTCGTGTTTAGTAGCGGAATTCACATCACAGGATGATTAATTCAAGGGAAACATGTCAGAAGGGTATAACTCGAAACGTAAACAATGACTTTGAACGTCGATTTCTCTTGAATGACCACACACCCACGGAATCTGATTACACTAGCTCATAGAACAAATATTTCTCTGTCAGATGATTTAGTTAGTTTGAGTGGGTATGTAGTCATTCGTAAGAAACTGACGATCCAAGTCATTGTTTACGTTTCGAGCTAGACCCTTCTGACATGTTTCCCCTGAATTATATAGGAAATCAGTTTGGCACGGCATTTGTGACCAGCGTACACCTTCCGGTCGTATGAAACAGGTCAAAAACTGTCCAAATCCGCTCATATTTTTGTTTTGTTTTGAATTTCTGTATGGCAAAATAGTGAACTTTTCGTGAACATTAGCGGCAAAGAACTCATCAACAATGGGATACCGTGCGCTCCTGCCCACCTGTGCAAAAACCATCTCGGGCCTAGATGGGTAGATGCAAAGGTAGCCCAGTACTCATGGTCCGCTAGTGTTGGTGAGTTATTTGCCGTTGCATAGTTCATTTTAGTAACCAAACTAATACTTCTTCCTTGAGTGTCACCTTTGTATAAGGCGCCTAGTTATCGATGGACTGTTCTCAGAAAGCCGAGCTTATAAGGTAAATATGTACATATGATGTCAGAGCAGATTGCGTTTGGAACAGGGTCACCAGATTTGAAGGCATGTCTTCATTTTAAAAACATTTGAAATTTTGTGATGTTTTTCCTTAAGTTTTTTTCCTACAGAATATTTGAAGACATTTATACCGCACACATGCCTGGCCATTTTGATAGGTGTTGTACATCACTGGTGTGTAACATAGAAGTGCCAACCTTTCATTAAAGCTCACCCCTCAAATTATCCAAAATCATTCCTAAACTTTTCGAATCAATCATAAACAAAAATATCTCCATCTAAATAAAATATAGAATAACAAATGCACAACATGGCTTTTTTAAAAGTCGTTCAACCACAACAATCCTCCTGGAATTTGTGATTACTCATTAACTGCAATGGACAAAGTAAACCAAATAGAAGCTCTTTACATTGACTTCAGTAAAGCGTTCGATAGACTTGACATTCCAATGTTGATTTTTCAATTAGAAAAAAATGGGAATTGAGATGATATTTCAAATTTTTCATATATTTCATATTTCAGTGTTCACTCGGCTGCCGACAAAAGCAGGCCACTCTCGATGTGTGCTACGCGATCGTCTATTTTCTCGGCAGCAACCATTGTGTGGTCCTCCTCATTGTTCTTCATCAGCAGTTCTTTCGGTCGATGCGTCGTCGACTTTGGAAAGCAACCGTTTCGTGATGAGTGTGTGAGTGCTGACCACGTTTTGCGTCCATTGCTGCAATGGACGCGCTCTGACCCTCGTTGGCGTACAACAATTTGCCATACAATGAAACCACTGGAAGCGGCTCCAGTTCTGATGGAGGAGGCTTTTTGGATAGCGGAAGATAAAGTGTTTATTGTGTTGTACCTTTTGACTATAGTTTTAAGATGTATTGTATAGTGACCAAGAATCCTCGGCTCTGTAAAGTTAATTCGGTTGAGCCTTATCAAATAAATTAATAAACAAAAAAAAAATATATTTCATATTTAAAGAAAAAAAATAATAAAGGGTTGTATCCTATACACGACCGCAGTATGACGTAGAACCATACAAAATAGATGTATGTCATGCATTTTTAACTATTATACTTTACCTTAAATTTTTCAAGTATTTCAATGTTTCGGTTACGGAACCATTCCCTCGTTTTCACCCGGACAAAAATGTTAACAATAACAAAACTTGTGAATTTAGGGAAATAAGTTCAAAATTTCCGAAAATCTTGAGACTTAAAGTAAGTAAGTATGCTGCAGTTCGAGCTGTAGTTGCTAAATATAATCAATTTTCTGTTTTTTTCTTCATTTTTTTCCGTCGATCTTGTTTTCCGTACTGAGTACCAATGCTCCCGACGCCAGGAAGACAGCTCCTACACCTGGACCCATAATGAACCGGGGACCAACGGCTTTACTTCCCTTCCGAAGGATGATCAGTGAAAAAGAAAAAAAAAATTAAAAAAAAATTGGCCATATTATTTTTAAAGTGATTTGAGATTTCGGCGTAATTGCATTTGTAAAAAAACACGTCAATCACCGATTTCTAACGAATAAAAGCTCAATCTCGAAAAGTAATAACACTATGAGGTAGAAGAATGATTCCTCTATCATTTGGTATAGTTTGTTTGTACACTAATAAAATTCTAAACTTAATGTTTATTTTGTCTGTGCACATAATTTTTATAAGATATTCAAACCATTATGTTTGTACGTGTTAACATAATTTTCATAATAAACCCCTTACCTACTGTAAGCTAGCCCATATCACGTATATGCGTGACAAATTTTATTTATATGCATGCTGCCATAAACATTATGGTTCGAATCTCATAGATGAAGGTTATGTGTTTTCACACATAATGTTTAAGTGCTTCAATTCAGTGCACACTATTGCACAAATTGTGCTAAATCATCTCCATCTTCCAACAAAACTTGAGCATTCTCAAAGGTAAATAATAATTTATCTCATTTATCTTTAACTATTTACCATAAAACTATTATTTTCGATTGTTTTCAGCGAAACAAAATTCACATAAACATTAGCCAACAGCCGTGATGAGCTCGGAGAAGCTTTAAAATCAGAGGAAACCTAAATCTTCCGTCGGATACAAATGACGTGGCAAACGTGAGTTAGTGCAATACATATTATTTGTTTGAAATTATTTTTTTGTGTGAATTCTACACAGGGATTCTTCCTGCTGGACGTGCAGGAGGAGGACGTGTAGGAGGAAGACTTGCAGGAGGATGACGTGCAGGAGGAGGAAGTGCAGGAGGACGATGCGCAGGAAGAGGACGTAGAGACTAAAGGCGGCGATGTATACGCTAGACCCTCCGAGGCACCTTCGACCTCGCCTTCGACATACATCGGAGGACTCAAACCAAAAACGCCTTCACGCGGGAATATACAATCCACTGACGTCAGTGACGGTGTAAAATCTTCAGGAAAATAAATAATTTACCAGAGTCTGTATTGTTATTATTTTATTTATATTTTTAGCACATAAAATATATGAAATTGACACGTAAGCGTTATTATTTGACCCATGACTTTCATTTGAATTAGACACATAATCTTTATGTTCTACCGAGAAATAAATGTTATAAACGTCACACATAAATTCTATTTACCAAAGCAAATTAAATTCATTTCTTATATGCCATTGAATGTATTGGTGGGAAACCAAATAGATTATATGTTCTTCAAACATATTTTTTTATTTGTGAAGTCTAATTGCAAAAAACTATGTGGTTTCACACATAAAAGGTATATGGAAATTCACCTCGGTGTAAGATTGAGCTTTTATTCAAGAGAAATCAGTAATTGACGTGTTTGTTTACAAAAGCAATTACGCCCAAATCTCAAATCACTCCGGATTTTTGAGTCAATAAACATATTTTTATTTCTACTGCGTGAATTGCCAGACTTCATAAAATAAATATGATTGAATCAACAAGAAATCTCTTTTAAAAACAAAGATATTTTTGTTGTTCACCCAGCTGCCAAATTTGACAGCTTACGTCAAAACCATGAAAGCTCTTGTAAATTCGAAAAGATTTTCTTTGTGATTTAACAATCCATGGGTTTTGAGGAACAAAAATACTGGATTGTTGAAACAATAATGATTTCTTTTTGCAGCCAAAACAAAATGAAATTCTTATTGATTGTACGTCTAATATTATTACGTTTAAAATATTTTTTTTTCTGGGTGTAGAGTTACCTCTATGGTACGCTTATAGATGTACTTGGGACCAATAGGCTAGTCAAGAAGTGAGCCAATTTTAAATCGTTAGTTTCCACCGGTTGCCAATAGTCTCTGAAAAAAATCAAAAATTGGCAGGTATCAGACGAAATATCTTTGTCTGATCACAATAAAATGTTACCGTGGACCACCGGTAATATGACCGGTTTTAATCTGAACACTTTTTAATTTTAACCCCGCTTATCTGCACGGCGTGCAAACTAAAAATTGCCTAAACGTCATTTTGCTCATGGAAAGGAGTAAAGTGAAATGGAACGCAGAATCAAAACAAAACAGCAAATAAGGCAACCAGAAACACGCTGATAGGGTTACTAGAAGCTCAAATTGAAAATGAACCCCGTTAATATGAATAAGGTGTCGTTCAGATTAGCGGGGGTCCACGGTATTTGAATATGAAGCTGGTCAACAGCTCACACAAACTATTAGAGATCATAGGAAAACAGACTGGGATATATATATAATTCAGAGCTAGTGGCAGGAAGAGACACGATAGCAATTAGCTCAAACACTTGTGAAGAATTTGAGAATAGTTCTAAACAATTTTCAAGGTTGATACAATATGCCCTTTATGAGAGTAGCATCGAAAAGGAAAATGGGCTGCAAAATGGTGAGTTGACAACCTGGAAGGAGCGGAATATCTACGCAGAAAAAAATGTAATATCGGTCAACGTAATTCAAGCTGATGTATGAAATAATGATGTAATAACAAAAAGCAGATACAATATTACATCAATGGATGTAATTTTGTTCTTAAATTGATGTACATCGTGCAACCACCACCAGCGGAATGACCTCTGTGTAGCTGTTTGGATGTAATATTCAACAACTTTTTTTTTCTGTGAAGCTCTGGTCCTTACAAGTTCCTAAATCACGCCTCCCCAAGTCATATGATAACAAAAGA